GTTTTTATTTTTATAAAACTCTTCATAATTTTCAGAGTTTTTATTCGATTTCCAAGTTCTAAAAACCGCTTGCTGGAAGATGTGTTAATCTTTCATACGCATTTTTTAGTTTCGCGATCACCCTGATACTAACCAGGATACTTACATCTAAACTTGAACAAAATTTTAAAGAAAATGTTTCGAAAATAAAGGTTTTTTGCTGAAACGCCATTCCAAACCAACGCAAGTTCAAAAATGGAAAAAATTGAGTCAACAATGTTTTTATTATTAGAAAGGTCGTAATAATTTTCAGTTTTTATTCGATTTCAAAGTTCTAAAAACCGCTTGCTGGAAAATGTGTTAATCTTTCATATGCATTTTTTAGTTTCGCGATCACCCTGATACTAACCAGGACCCATCCAAAATTGAACCAAAATTTAATGTCAATTTTTTCCAAAAATTATGGTTTTAGTGACTAAAACGCCCACACTGGGCTTGAAATGTAGCCAACTGACAATCGAAAAACACTTTTCGGACAAAAAACTTAATCTGCAGGTTTTCATGCGATTTTATCTTCTCCATTGTCGCTTCATCATTCATCATCAGAATTAGGGTGAAAGTTTTTCCAAAAATGTACACTTTTGTAGCTGCAACACCATGCAGAACCAAGTATTAAAATTGAACCTTGAGAAAGTCAAAAAACGCTTAAATTTGGGTCAAAAACATCCTCATAACTTGCAGATTTTTGCTGACAGAAACTCAAGAAACCACTCCGAGCACACAAGTCCGAGCGGTGAAAAACGTCTTACGAGCAAACGTAGTCACTGTCCTTATTAGGTTGCAAACTATAAAATAAACTCCAAATCCAAAGGCTCTAGAAGACGTTGAAGAAACACCGAAAAAAGTCTTGAGGAAAATGCCAAGTCACCCACTCAAAACAATCCTTATCACTCAAGCACACGTAATTAGCTCGCTGGCCACTTGAGACGGTACTTAAACATGGACCTTGAAGATAGTCCCCATTGAAGATCCCAGTGGCAACTGCTGTTCTAGCTTAGTTCCCTCAAGTCGCCTCCAACATGAAGACGCTTATTCTCCTAACTGTGCTTTCGTCCCTGCTGGTGGTGAATGGCAGCAAGCACCTGCGGCGCATCTACAAAGACACTGGAAGACTGTTCGGTCCCCAGCAGGCGGTTGAGGAGCCTCTCATTTTGACGCCCTTCATCAACGAGGGGAGAATTGAGGAGGCGCAGCAGGCGGCCCGAGTCCAATCTTCACTGTTTCATGACGTCGTCAGCTACGCTGGGTACTTCACTGTGGATGAACGCTTCGACTCGAACTTATGGTTCTGGTACTTTCCATCTGCAGGTACGCTTTCTTCAGTTAATAGCGTTTTCCAACTTGGCCACTTATTGGGCAGAATTTAAATATTTTAGTCACGTTTTTTAACAGTCGGTTAACAGTAACACAACGGCAACCATGCATCCAGGCAGAGATGTCAGCGTGACCGTCAGTGTATTTGTGGTTAGTTTTTGAATTGGGCTCTTCAAAACTGGAAATGTATAACAATGTCGCATGCGCATTAAACTTACTTTTCTGGTGGGGAGAGTTTTAATAATAAAATAAAATATATTAGTTTAATAAAAAAACTCCCAAAAAGCCTGTAGATTTGGCGTAAAAATTAGTTTCAGGGCCAAAGTTGATTTTGGTCACCGTTTCAGCGCCAGGGGAGTTTAAATTTTCAAAGACCTGAAACGTTGCTTATTCTTGGAATCACGCTCTTTTGGTACAAGTTTGGCTGCCCATCACAATTTTATAACCCCTAGATGTATTTTTAGGAGAAACTCAATGGTTTTTTAAAAAAGTTTTGCCATCAATTTTTTTTTAATTTTCGAATTTTTGGAAAATCGCAAATGTGCAAATTTTTCACTTAAGAGTCGAATTTAGACCGACAGGCCACTTTTCATTAACATCGTTTTCGTATATAGTTTCGGAGAAAATTTGAAGCTAGAGGGACTTAAACTGTCACCCACAATGTTTGCACACTTATTTGCCCATAACTCCGCAACTGCTAGCAATATTGGAAAAAGAAAAAATGCACTAGATTGCCACGGGCATTTGCTAGGATTCGGCTATCGTGGCAAAAATCCTCATCGGCAACGGTTTCGGAGATAATGAAGGCTGAATGTTGGCAACCGTTCGACTGTTCCATTTGCGCGTACCTCCACTCTTTTGCACGTAACTTCGTTAAATGTCAAGATATTTGAAAGTTTCAAAACGCCCACAAAGCCCGAAGAAGTAGCTATAATACCTATTTCAGCCTCAAATTCGATAACGACAGCCGCAAGGCAGTGAAACGAGTTCTAACTCAGCGTGTGCAACCTTTTGAAAAAAAATCTTAGAGAAGTTAATATTAGTTGACAATTTCTTGTAACAAGTGTCTTTGTTGGAACGCTTTCAGACAACGTGTCCGATGATCCGGTCGTCCTGTGGTTGAACGGCGGACCCGGCGCCTCCAGCCTGAACGGACTCTTCGACGAAAATGGTCCCTTCATTGTCAACGAAGACTACTCGGTATCCCTGCGGGAATACTCGTGGCATCTGAACCAATCGGTGAGCATAGCAAAGTCCTCCCAACCACAACCAAAGCTCAGATTATCTTCTTCGACAATCCGGTGGGCGTCGGCTTCAGCTTCACCAACGGCGGCCTGGCGGAGAACGAGACCAAAGTGGGCGAAGACATGCATTCCGCTCTCGTCCAGTTCTTCCAGCTCTTCCCCGAGCTGCAAAGCAATCCGTTCTTCATCAGCGGCGAGTCCTACGCGGGCAAGTACCTTCCAGCCATCGCTTACACCATTCTTCAGAAGAACCCCAGCGCCGATCTGCCGCTGAATCTTCAAGGCGTCCTGATTGGCGACGGCTGGACGGACCCCATTCACCAAATGGATTATGGACCATTCGTTTACAACACCGGATTGGTCAGTGAGGACGTGAAGAAGGTGATTGATCGGCATCGAGATGCCGCTATTGCCGCTATTGAAGCAGGTGATTGATTGGTTTTTATTGGCTTGACTGGAGAGTGTGGCGTGTGTTGTGACTCAGAGGTGAGGAGGAAATTGGGGGCAGGCACCCGAAAACCTCCAGTAACTCACTTATTATGAGAGGAAAAGTGAACACGAACTTTGACTCAGAATTCGTACTGAGCACGGGACGTTTTTTGCAGAACAATGGCTGGAAGCCGGGGACCACTCGGATGACATCTACGATCTGATCCTGGACAATGCGGACGTGAACATCTACAACTACATCGAAGAGTACGACGATCCAGACAAATGGGCGGAGTTCCTGAGCAGGGACGAACTGCGGGAGGTGATCCACGTGGGCGGCACCTTATTCGGGGACAAAGGCGCTGGATCCGCCTTGGAAATTGATGTCACGAAGAGCGTCGCCCCCTGGGTGGAAGAGCTGCTGGAACATTACCCCATCCTGATCTACACGGGGCAGGTGGACATCATCTGCGGCTATCCAATGGTTCTGGACTATGTGAAGACGCTGGAGTTTAGCGGTGCGGACGAATACAAGGGAGACACCAGGCGTATTTGGTATGTGGACGACGAGCCCGCAGGATACGTGCGAACTGGCGGAAACCTTGTGGAACTTCTGGTGCGTAACTCTGGACACATGGTGCCAAGGGACCAGCCCAAGTGGGCCTACGATATGCTTTATAGATTCACCAGGAACCTGCCCTTTGCTTAATGCCCACAGGGGTTGAAATTGGCGATTTGTGATGTTAATAAATGGAAGACAGCAAAAATATATGTGTATAAGTTCCGGTTCCGGTTTTTTTTCGGTTCCAAAATCTATACAGGGTGTCAATTTGAAAACTTCCAGCCATTCCAAATGTAAAACAAACCGCAGCACGATACAAATGAAAAATTTGGTAGATTCACACGCCACGCCCAAATTGAACGTGCCACGCGTACCATTCCTGGCAACGTTGCACAGGTATTGAGAGACGTCAGGCAGTTCTTCCGCGAAGCAGCTAATTGTAGCCCCCTTGGAATATAACGTTGCCAGAATCTAATGTTATGTGAGGTATCGTGTCAAGTGTCAAATCTTAAAAAGGTGAGGTTAGAACTGTTAAAAGTGGGAAGTGAAGAGGTTTGGTTTATGTCTGACCACGTTTTGACTTGAATGTGTCGAATTTATGTCATTAGTTATGTCTATTTCCAATGTTTGCAGTATTTGTCAAAAAAGCTTTTCAACACAGGGAAATCTCAATAAACATTATCGTACAAATCATGGTACCCCAGTGAATACTCCCAATGGTACCCAGTGAATAAACTAAAATTGTGTTTGATTTTCTTTATAATTGTTATTTATACAGGGCGTTCCGTAAATATGTTAAAATATTTTAGCAGCGTGTTCTCCTAGTCATTTTAGAAGGGGGTCTTCCTGGGAATTTTTTTTATTTGAGGTCTCATTTTTGAGATATTTTTAATATCTAATATTTATCTCCAAAATGGCGAAAAATATTAGTTTTTGTTGTTTTTGTATAAAACGGTTAAACATTGGGAACTTGAATTTTTATACACATTATAAGATAATTGAAGGCCATTCTATGGTAGTGTTTTGTAGTTCAGTTTACTTTTATACAGGGTAGAAATGTGGAACTCCTACTTTCGTCTTGTTCAGAACTTTTTTGTGTGCACTTAAACTTTTATCAACATAATTTTTTTAATTACTACAAGTTATTTATCAATTTTTTATCTCTTGTTGTTTTTTCTTAAGGGCACTAGTTTGCCCGCAAAAAAATTAAATCGTTTCGGCTTAATCAAAACTTTCCAGGCCGTTGGATTGCTAGAGGTCAAGAAGCTCCTATAAACTCGCCTCCTAGATCTCCCGATTTAAATGAGCTTGATTTTTACTTCTGGGACCATTTAAAAAGTGTGGCATATTCACCAGAAGTGAATACAATCGAAGAACTTTAGAAAATAATTTTTAATATTTTTAACGAAATAAGAACTTCAGTGGAAACTTTACGGTCTGCAAATTTTAATTTCATTAAAAGACTGCTGCTAAGTTAACATTAGAATGGTTATTTAAATTTAATTTTGTTTGTTTATATCGTTGCGCATATTGTTAGCATGTTTTTATTCAAGTAAAATTTATTCAAACTATAATGTATATTATTTTAATTAATTTTTTTTAAATTCTTTCAACATTAGAAATCTTAAACTGATTTTTGGTAGACATTTTAAATCGGAAATAATTTATTTTGTAGATATCTTAAATATCTCTGTAAATATATAATAATATCTTTCTCATTTTCTCTCTCTCTCTCTCTTTCTATAATAACGCCTCAAATCAGCTGAAATCTGGCAAAAATGTATTCCAAGGGGGCTACAATTAGCCGCTCCTGTTCTTCCGATGGGGGCGTTGCGAAATATCAAATTACTAGTTGTCGAGTGACAGTTGAGACTTTCCAAACTTGTTTATTTATTGGAGTTGATGACATTTATGACATAAAACAATACCTACACACTTTTCGATCTGTTCCTATTTCTTTAAAAGCTTGCAAAAATTGATTAGAACAAAACAAATCAGAATCAGGTGTAAACCCCAATGTGACACCAATGTCAACAAAACAAGACGAGTTTGCAAATTACTACTTAACTTGTAGTTATAATCTTAGCCACTAGGGGGCGTCTGGACTTTTGAACTCGCGAATTATTTGTATTAATGTTGGGTTTTACAACCAAATAAATAACAAAATATGCACTCACCCTCAGTTGGTCTTTGCTGTTGAAAACTGTGCAACAATCCAGGAGAAAATGGGCGTAGTTCTCAAAGTTCAGGCCCCGAACTGATTTGACAGTAAACGTCACAGCGCGATAGAAAAAATCCGTTTTTCATATAAAAAACGCTCTGCTGGCCAGAAATTCCACTCAAAACAGCCGATCCATTGTCCGTGGTTGATGCAAAGTCGAATTTCGGATTTAAATCGCGATGAAACCGGCATTTTTTGATATTTTAAAAACGTAAATTATTCGGCTTGACAACGGCGGTCAGCAATTGAAGTAAAAGGATTGAGTGGCGCTGCGACATGCCCCGTATGGATGCGTACGAAATCGAACCAACAAATCGGAAGTCGATGATTGTTTCAGCAGTTTTACTCAGAATACCCCAGTGTGTGACGTATCGTAAGCTCCAAGTGCTTCTGGATGAAATTAACGTGTTTTTCAAATATTTTATTTAAAAATCTACAGAGTTATAAAAGTTATTATTAAAGTGAACTCAGATTTTAGAGTCGTGACCATTAAATAGAAAGTGTTGTAGAAGGAATGGAAACCATAAAATATTGAACTTGTTTAACGCATGATGGGAATAATCATTTTATTTTATAATTTTAATATTCTTGTTAGTCTGATAATTTATAAATGGATCAGGACTCGGTAAAATTTCATTTAATTTCCTTTTGAATGTAAAATATATTTTTTATTTGCAACATTTAACATTCTTTAACGAGATGTTGTACATATTGCTCTTCTTGGGTTTGTGTAAACTCTTCTTCTTGAGTTTCTGTATTTTTCAGTTGTAATTTCTTATTTGCTTTGTATAATCTTTGACGTTCAGCACTAGTTCGTGGTTGATGAAAGCTACTTTGAGTTGATCTATTACTTAATGCTCTTTTTTAGCACGAAATCGTTTTTGGCGTTCAGCATTACTTAATACTGTTCGCATTGAACGTTCATGAACGTCTGCTACAACTTTTATCTGAATAGGACTAAAAACGAGGAACAGCTATAGAGACAGGATACACTTGACACACCATATGTATACATAATGTAAGCCATCGCGCATATGTTAAAAAAAATTCTAACTGAACTAATCCAAGGCTAAAAAATTAAACTAAATTGAGAAGATTTAATCCTAAAGGAATCAAAGAATATGTGAAGGGCAAAAATTATTTTGATGCGTGGTAAACACAATTAATCATAGAAATAATATAGAGAATTGAAAATAAGCCCTAATAAATTCGTTTCACATATTTTGCAACTATAAGCTGAAGAGAGATCCGTATCGTCTTAACATCAAGAATGCGTTGCGGGATAGAAAATAAGAAGACGGAACCCATGTTTTCTGAAATAAC